ACTACTCTCTTTACATCATCATTCCACCAATCGCTCCTCTTCCCTCCTGCACCCACTTTCCTGTAACCACAAACTTCTGCTGAACACTCTAACACTACATTTTTAAACCTACCCCATACCTCTTTCGACCCCATTGCCTATGCTCTCATTAGCCCATCTATCCTCCAATAGCTGTTTATATCTTACCCTAACTGCCTCCTCTTTTAGTTTATAAACCTTCACCTCTCTCTTCCCTGATGCTTCTATTCTCCTTGTATCCCATCTACTTTTACTCTCAGTGTAGCTACAACTAGAAAGTGATCTGATATATCTGTGGCCCCTCTATAAACATGTACATCCTGAAGTCTACTCAACAGTCTTTTATCTACCAATACATAATCCAACAAACTACTGTCATTTCGCCCTACATCATATCGTGTATACTTATTTATCCTCTTTTTCTTAAAATATGTATTACCTATAACTAAACCCCTTTCTATACAAAGTTCAATCAAAGGGCTCCCATTTTCATTTACACCTGGCACCCCAAACTTACCTACCACACCCTCTCTAAAAGTTTCTCCTACTTTAGCATTCAAGTCCCCTACGACAATTACTCTCTCACTTGGTTCAAAGGCTCCTATACATTCACTTAACATCTCCCAAAATCTCTCTCTCTCCTCTGCATTCCTCTTTTTCTCCAGGTGCATACACGCTTATTATGACCCACTTCTCGCATCCAACCTTTACTTTAATCCACATAATTCTTGAATTTACACATTCATATTCTCTTTTCTCCTTCCATAACTGATCATTTAAACATTACTGCTACCCCTTCCTTTGCTCTAACTCTCTCAGATACTCCAGATTTAATCCCATTTATTTCCCCCCACTGAAATTTCTCCTACCCCCTTCAGCTTTGTTTCGCTTAGGGCCAGGACATCCAACTTCTTTTCATTCATAACATCAGCAATCATCTGTTCTTGTCATCCGCACTACATCCACGCACATTTAAGCAACCCAGTTTTATAAAGTTTTTTCTTCTCTCTTTTTAGTAATTGTATACAGGAGAAGGGGTTACTAGCCCATTGCTCCCGGCATTTTAGTCGCCTCATACGACACGCATGGCTTACGGAGGAAAGATTCTTTTCCACTTCCCCATGGACAATAGAAGAAATAAAAAAGAACAAGAGCTATTTAGAAAAAGGAGAAAAACCTAGATGTATGTATATATATATATGCATGTGCGTGTCTGTGAAGTGTGACCAAAGTGTAAGTAGGAGTAGCAAGATATCCCTGTTATCTTAGCGTGTTTATGAGACAGAAAAAGAAACCAGCAATCCTACCATCATGCAAAACAGTTACAGGTTTTTGTTTCACAGTCATCTGGCAGGACGGTAGTACTTCCCTGGGTGGTTGCTGTCTACCAACCTACTACCATAAAAAGTTTTTTATCTTACTGTCGTCAACTTTACATTGTTGACAAAAACATTATTACTACAAGTTGTAAATTAAGTAAACTTCCTGGGTTATTATTATTTGTATCAATAAAAAACATAAGTAATAAGAAAATAATAATTATTGCTTTTTCGTTCTTTACTGCTACTTTACCTTGTTATTGGGTAATTCCAACATTATCATCTAATTTTAAATCTATTTTAACTTTCTCAAAATTAATTGTTAATCCAGGATGGAGAATATCAACTATTCTGAGACCTACAGTTACTCCTGTTTTTAACATTCCATGGAACAATAATAAAGATAAAAAAGTAATTACTGTTTGGTGTTTACCACATAACAATTTAGCAATAGCTTATAGTATAAGTCCCATTTTTCATTTATTATTACAACCTATTTTAATTATTCCTTCTTCTGAAATTGATGTAAAAATTGTTAATAATGATAAATGGATAACTAATAATTCTTTAATAGTAAATAAATATAATAAATATACTAATTATAATAATGATTATAATTATCCCAGAAAAATTCTTTCTCTTGGATCTCGATATTTTATTCATTATTTATTTCAGTCACATATAAATGAAAATACTGCTTCTCTATCAATATGGCCTTTTAAGTTATCAATTAATATTCAAGAAAAATTTTTACCTTCTGATTTTACATCATCTCTTATTTGGGGAATTCATCTCTTAATTTTAAGTAAAAAATACTGAAAATATTTATAAAAAAAAATATTTTTTCTATATATAACTAAAATGAAATTCATAATTAACTAATTATACAATGTCGTTGTCGTCTTCTTCATATGCAACTGTTATTATTGATAAAATATTTAAAAATGAAGAAGAATTAATTTTAGAAAATTTACAAAATATTTTAAAATTGCAAAATATTAATTTGCTTTATATACCACCTATTGAAAAAAATAATAATGATGATGATGATTTATTAGAAAATGTAAAAATATTAGCTCAAAATATTCCAAAAGGAACACAAGACTTTCTTATAGTATACATTACAAGTGAAGGGAATAATGAAGAAAAAGAATTTCATTCAATTTGTTGCATGGATAAATATTTAAATATACATAAATTTACTGAACAATTTGAAAATATTGAAGAATATTTTCAATTTTCAATGATTAATAAAATATATATATATTTAATTATTGATAAGAGACAATATGAATCTTCATTCTTCTTCAGTTTTTATTTAAAAGAAAAATCTAATATAATTTATTTAGAATTAAATTTAAATTTATTTAGAATCAACTAACCACTTTTTGGATACTAATTTATTAATGAATGCTAATCTTCGAATTATTATTTTTGCAATTATAAATTCTTTAGTAGCATAAAAAGAAGAAATATGCTCAATTTATAATAAGATAAAGTTCTAAGTGGTGTCAATATTACGAATCGACTAAAAATCAAGTTAGTTGGTTTAAAAAATAAGCAAAAAGATGAAATATTCATTTATTTTTTTTAGTTGAAAAGGCAATACAATGTTCGATATACAAATTACATTCCTTCCATTAACCAAAATTATTTAGATTAAATCTTATCAACATTGTAAACATAACAAAGTTGAGAGTTGAGTTTTTCCTTAATTAAATTGTACAAGTAATGCTTTTCACTTAAACAGATAGAGTTGGTGGTATAAACAAAAAGGGCTTCTTTAAGTTTTATACTATGGTAATGCAGGCTATGAATTATGTCTTGGATGCCCAACTCCGTCAGTTCACTAGACATACACTTGATATAGTAGTACCCTCCTCGTGGTTGTAGTTTCTTAATCACATCAATTGCAGAATTCACAATATTGTCATTCAGACCAATCAACCTAAGGTTCACTCCTCCTGTGAGTGTGCTAGGTAGGGACATCAGCACTTTTGGAGACACTTCTGCTAATACTTGAACATCCAAGATCTTCAATTGATGTAGTGTAGACTTGACAACATGGTATAGCTGTGGTAGAAGGGTATGAGCATTGTCGTTATTCAACACATTCAGGGAAAGGTATTTGAGGTTGAGAGGTAGTAGATAAATATTCTTAAGATAACCATCAAACTCTACCAAGTTAACTAAGTTATTCTTAGAATTTAGGTAGTGCAAGATGGCATCAGTTTCGCAGTCGTGAGTGATTTCCATAGACGAACAGAGGTGGTGTTCAGTGATTATGGCTAGCAGATCCAGCAGACCAGGCATATAAGCGGATTCGCCTGAGATATTAATTTTCACTTTCACTTTCGATGGTGATGAGATAATATTAATGTTCACTTTAGATGGAATGTAGTCTGGAAGAACTGTGCAACAATAAACACATTTATAAAAAATAATATAAATATTTACATTCTTAATCAAGGGAACTATTTCTTCAACTATTTCATTACATTTGATGTTCTGTAGGATATTGAACCTGTCATCATTCTTCATATCAGTCTCATTACGGATACGCTTAATTTCATGTTCGATAATTTCAGGCACCTTGTGTAGTACTATGCCAAACTTCTGTATAAGATTAGAAACTTCATGTTTGATAGCCTTGATAGTCATATGGTCATCTAATATGTCTAGTATGAGGTGCACCAGCCCAATCCCAACACCACTACGTATCAAAACAATGTGGTACTTCGGCATATCTGGTTTTAAATGTTTGGGTATATAGCCAATGATGCTTAAGGCAGGACTAGGTGTCCAATTACGAGTCGACTAAAGATATAGTGAGTGTGAGATAAACTGAAGCAGAAACTGGGTGGAGTTGCACCACATTCTTTTTTAACAGTAGCTATTGGTTTATTTTTATAAACAACTTACAGAAATTTATTGAAATTTTAAATAGTGGCATATTTATTTAATCTTCTGCCAGAGTTCCAAATGAAGTCAATGATATTATTAAAAAAAAATAAGGTACACTCAAATGTAGAACTTCTCCCTTAGAAATATTTTTTATTTTAATCTATTTATATTTAAAAGTTTTAAATTTTCTGTAACATTTTCATGAATTTTTGAATGAAACATTGTTGGTTTTACATTTTCATTATCAAATAAATTATCTAATATTTTACTGGGTTTAATATTAAGATAATAATGTTGACTACATATTGCACATGGAATAATGTATGGTAATAAACTAATGTAGCAATGTAGAGTATATTTAATATTTTCATCCATTTTATATATATCATTTAATTCTCCTTTTTCAGCAAAACTATGAAATATTTTCCAATAAAAGGGTCCCCATCCTTTAGGACCATAAAATTGAGGAATTGGATATGTATCTGTATTATATATAGTGCAATGAAGTGATCCAGGAAAAGAATTACTTTTTTCAATTATTTCTAAATGAGGATGAGCTATTTCATCTGCATCGAGTTTACTAATAAGATCAGCTAGGGTTTCTACTCCATTTATCTTCAAATTATTTAAATGAAGCTTTTGTAAATATAATTGGCGACTTTCTTCATTTTTCATGTATGTTTCAAGAGCAAAAATTTCTGATGGAATTGAGTATTTCTCATTGTCAATAATATTTTGAATTTCTTTTAAAAATATAGTATGAAATTCAATAGGTGAACATATAGAATATTTTTCTGTTTCATCATCACTAGCAATTAAATGTACTACTGTTGGTAAAGTATGAAAAAAACTAGATCTAAGTATATCATTAGCTTTTTTTAAATTATAATTATCATTAACATTTTTATATTTAGGATGCATAATTTTTAAAAAATGACTTAATATAACAGAAAAAGTATAGAAAATAAATGTAGGTAAGCATAAAATTGAAGGAAAATTTTGATTATTTTCTTTATTGTAAAAAAGTTTTAAATTAAAAAGGTATTGGCCTTTACCTTTCATTTTTTATTCATTAAAAAAAAAATATCAATATTGGTAAAAGTAACTTAATATTTAAATTTTTTTTTATTCTCTTGGTTGGTAATTGTAGTTGATTTTTTCATCTTATGATGATTTGTGTGTTCATTAAATGGGATGATCAGGACATGTAAATGGTTTTTCTTTAACCCATTCAGTATTACGTTTAAAGTTCTTCTTCTTCAGCTGGAGTAAAATCTTTTTCCATTTTAAAAACATCTAGGACGAATTTGTTCTGTAGTTTTTCCCTTAATTTCGTTAGCAATCATCTTGACATGTCACATGTTTCTAAACTTTAAAATCTAAAAAAATGAGCAGCATTCACTAAATCAAATAACATATTTTTATCTTCAGTTTGTAAAAAATTGTATCCCAAGAAGAAATGTCATTAAGTGAAATAGCATTGTCATAATCTAAAGGAATAATTAGATGGTGGAATTTTCCTGTATAATATTTACAGTAGTCTATAACCATTTTCAAATAGGTGTATTTAGTGATAACCCAGATGGAATTACTTCATCATCATTACAAGCTTCAATGCAATTTATCATTTCATATCATAAACTACTCTACATGGCAACTTTTGTATCCACAATGAAAATATCACCATCAATACTTTTCAAGTTTCAATGTTTCCATTATTATTTTTGGTGAATTAATGAGCCTCAGCTTCACTCCTTACTCTTTTATATAAATGATTAAAAAAAAATTAGGATTCGGTATAAAAATCAGTTCATAAGTAACTTGAATCTATCTTAAAACAAAAAATCAACTCAGTATAACTAATATATATTCATGCCTATATATATGTCAATGCCTTATAAGCAATAACCATAAATTTTTATAAAGGGCTTTGTAGAAAGAAAGTAAGTTAAAATTTATCATTCCATTAGACTATATATATATATAAGCAATAAAGTTTCAATTGGCTGACTAATTTAAAAATTTTATAATTAATTCTACTAAAGACATATTATATCATATTTTTTATTTAAATTTCAGATAAAATTTCTGAATAAGAAATGTATTCTATAATAGATAAGTAGTTAAAAATACTACTACGTACTACTACTATACTATTGAGAGTTTGAATATAGAAAGATCTAAGAATTTAATTCATATGAAGTTAAGAATTTGAAAAAGAATCGTTTAGTATCATTATCGAATCTCCAATAGAGAATGGGTGAAACCAAGTGAATTGGCGTCGTGATGATTTTTTTAATTAAGAAGCGATGATAACTTTGTGTTTTTTGTAAGGGTACTTTTAACAAAATGGGAAGAGAATGATACGCCAAGAGGTGAACATAAGAGACATTTTCCTCACTGTCCATTTATAATGAATGAACCTGTAGGAAATGTTTCACTTGAACATGGAGAAATAATCTCAAGAATATCAGAATTAGCCTTATATGATGATAGTAATGATAATAGATTTGTATTTAAATCATTTTTATTGGATGTAATTGATGATTTTCCTAATATTATTCCAAGACATATGCCAGGATCTTATGCAGAATGTGAGGGACCCAATAATGATAATAATGATGATAATGATGATGATGATGATGATATGTTAGGAGGAGGTGACATGTTAGAATTATTTAAATATACTTTACCCTATCGAAATGACTATCACAAGTATAAGAGTAGACTTAAAAGTTTTAGAGGGTGGCCTAACACTCTTAAACAAAGAGCAGAACAACTAGCTGAAGCAGGATTTTTCTATCGTAATTTAAGTGATCATGTACAATGTTTTTATTGTGGAGGTGGATTACGTAACTGGGAAGCTGAAGATATCCCTTGGAATGAACATGCACGATGGTATCCTAAATGTAATTTTGTATTAGTAAATAAAGGAATAGAGTTTATAAAAAGGATTAAACAAGAAAAACCTCCATATATTCACAGTTATCCCACTGTTAATATTATAGTTAAATCTAGATTAACAGAGAATGATTTGAATGCTTTGATGAAATTAGATATTATAAAGTCTGCAGTTGCAATGAATTATTCCCCAGACAAAGTAAAAAAAGTGCTTAAAAAAAAGCTTGTAAAAACTGGATTACCCTTTTTTAATATTGAAAATTGCATTTCAGAAATTGTTAACTTATCATACATAGATAAATTTCCTAACTGTGATGGATCAATTTTAAACCAAAAAAATATTAATAATGAATTATTATTATCATCATTAGAAACTAATTATGATATGAATATTTGTAAAATTTGTATGGATAATTTAATAGAATTGGTTTTTTTACCATGCTCACATATGGTTGCATGTATGAATTGTTCTAAACAGTTAAAAAATTGTCCAATTTGTAGAAATGTTATAAGATATACAATAAAACCAATAAAATCTTAATATTATTTATATTTTTTATTTCCTTTCTTTAAGTTTTTTTTTTAGTGCAGTGGTGTTATTATTTTTTAAAATAATGAATATAAATATCAATTTTTTCTTTTTACTAAATATTATTTTTATTGATGATGAAAAGCAAAAAACAACAACATAATTGCAAATTAAATAATTATTTATTATCTTTAAAACCACCTTGGAAAGATATAATTGATCACAACGAGTACCATACTTTGATTAATTTTATACATACTGACAATGTTTTAAGTTTATTTCCCAAAGAAGCATTTATAGAATTAGTTTTACAGAAAAATGGCATAAATGTACAATTAATTAATATTGAGTGTAGCTTAGAAGAAGAGGAAGAATATTATAATGAAGAAACATATATAATATCTAGAATTCCTACTAAATGTTATATAAGAGTAAAAGATGCTTTAGAAAAAGAGAAAAAATACCAAGTACTTTTTCTTCACCATCCTAGTTATAATAGTGAAATAGTATATGAAATAGTAAAAAATTTTAAAGGAAGAAAAATTGTATATAAAAAAGATAATATTTTAACAACAAAAGTATTAAATGAGATTATTACTTCTAAAGGTTTTAATAAACTTCCTAAAAAAAAGTGTAATAATTTGAAATTTTTTATTAGAAAGTAAAAAAATAATGAAAAATATAATAATTCGATCTTATCTAATTACTGTATAATTTTGAAATTTTTTTTATTATTAGCTATTAGTATAATAACAAGTATAATGAAATATATTATAAAAATAATCAACCAATAATTTTTGCAACTTTTATTAATAACGGTTATATAATTTTTTTCTTTACTAAATTGTTTTTTATTATAATTAACTATTGCAATACCTATTTTACTTAAAAACGATCCATTCTCACATTTATATATATATTTTATAATCATAAATTTAAAGGAAAATTTTTTCCGTTTTTCACTATTGCTCTCTCATTATGAAAATTAGACGAATTTAAAGTATTGTGAATAATATTGCACATATCTAACATATATTTTTATTTATCTCTCTCTATTAGGATTACATACATCTTTAGCAACAAGGATGATAACTAGGATGATGAATTTTATTTTCAATTTTATTAAATTCATCAATATCTGCAAATACTAAATTCTTTGAAACCATTCATTGTTTTTCACATAATTTATGTAAAAATATTACTTCTTATTAGAGAAAATACCACCACCATTTATTATTACTGAATATTCATTCTTTATATAGTATCTAAAAACATCCAATGCATTTATCATTATATTCTTCCAAGAGATAAAATAATTGGTAATATGTCTTGGTTTTTGAAGATAGATTTTACATTTTCTATATATGAATGTGTTTTTAATAAATTGATGATGGGGAAATTGGTTATTGAGCTTTTAACCTTGTTTTACCCCCCCCCCCCAAATCGACATTTAGAAAAACTATTTTTCTAATTGTGTATAAGTAGAAATACTTTCTTAAATGAGTTGTAAATTCATCGATTCCTCTCAAATCCAAATCTATAAAGTTAAACTTTTACAAATTTTTTTTTATTTTGTAAAATAATAATGTGGATAGTTTGTTTGAATATAAAGTCTGATAATGTATGAGAGCTTGTAAATAGATCAGTTTCATAACCACAGAGACAAAAATACATATGATTATAGTTGATTCAATTTTTTATTATCATTATAAATTTGAAAGAGTATTATTTATTTTTATAGATAATGATAACCTATTTTTGTTTTTAATTTTATTATTTTCAAACTTCTGTTCATCATATCATAATATTAGTAAATATTTTTTTTCTTTTAACGAATTATTAATATTGTTAAAGTCCAAGTCCATTATTGAGGTGAAAGTAGCTTAATTTTTCTTGTATAATTTAATTCAACGTCTTCATTAAATTAGGTCCAATTTTTTTATATTATAAATATGATAAAATTTTTAAACAATTTATTAAGTATGAAAATATTTTTTATAATTATCCATTTTTTTAAATCAGGTTATTAAAAAATGGCAACTCTTGAAACATACAGGAAGTTGCTAGATATTTAAATCTGCTGCTCCTTGATGGTTGGTTGTTATTTTTTTTCAAAAAGTGGTGTGTTCTGTTCTTCCAGTACAAGGATGATATTTACTGTAATATTACTCGATTTACTGCTACTGAGGCTATTATCAGCAAGTGAAGGTTAGTTTATCTCAATTCTATATATATATGTCGTGCCGAATATGCAAAACTGGTCAATTAGCAAGAACATGTTTATAGAGGGGCCACAGATATATAGATCACTTTCTAGTTGTAAGCTTACACTGAGTGTAAAAAGGTAGATGGGATACAAGGAGAATAGAAGCATCAGGGAAGAGAGAGGTGAAGGTTTATAAACTAAAAGAGGAGGCAGTTAGGGTAAGATATAAACAGCTATTGGAGGATAGATGGGCTAATGAGAGCATAGGCAATGGGGTCGAAGGGGGAAGGGGGGGGGGGTTTATGGGGTAGGTTTAAAAAAGTATAGTGTTAGAGTGTTCAGCAGAAGTTTGTGGTTACAGGAAAAAGGGGTTGGAGTGCAGGAGGAAGAGGAGCGATTGTGGAATGATGATGAAAAGGAGAGTAGTAAGGGAGGAAAAGTTATCATATGAGAAGTTTTTACAAAAGTTAGAAGTGATGCAATGGAGGGAAAGTATATGGAGAAAAAAGGAGAGGTTAAGAGCCCCCCCCCCCCCCCCCCCCCCCCCCCCGAGAGGGTGAAGCGATGTAACAAAGAGAGCAAATGAGGAGTGGGTGAGATGTTATCAACAATTTTGTTTGAAAATAGAAAAAGTTTTGGTGAGTGAGGATTAACATGTTTAAGGAAAAGCCTAGAGAACAAATTGATTTGTCAGTTAAAAATAGGAGAGGAGAGTTATTAAATGGAGAGTTAGAGGTTTTGGGGGAAGATGGAAGGAATTTTTTTTAAAGGGAATTGTTAAATGTTAAAGAAGATAGGGAAGCTGTGATTTTGTTGTAAGGGCAAGGAGGAATACATCTTGTAGGAGTGAGGAAGAGCCAGTTGTGAGTGTGGGGGAAGTTCGTGAGGCAGTAGGTAAATAAAAGGGGGTAGGCGCCGGGTTTTATGGGATAAAGATAGAAATGTTAAAAGCAGGTGGGGATATAGTTTTGGGTGGTTGGTGCAATTATTAAAAAAATGTATGGAAGAGGGTAAGGGTTTACCTAGGGATTGGCAGAGAGCATGCATGTTCCCTTTGTATAAAGGCAAAGGGATAAAAGAGAGTGCAAAAATTATAGGGGATAATCTGTTGAGTGGGACCTGGTAAAGTGTATGGTAGGGGTTATAATTGAAAGAATTAAATAAGAAAGGAGAATAGGATTTGCAGATGAACAAGGAGTTTAGGAAAGGTAGGGGGTGTGTGGACCAGGTGTTTACAGTGAAAATAATAAGTGAACAGTATTTTTGATAAGGCTAAAAAAGGTCTTTGTGGCATTTATGGATTTGGAAAAGGCGTATGACAGGGGGATAGGGGGGCAATGTGGCAGATGTTGCAAGTGTATGGTGTAGGAGGTAGGTTACTGAAAGCAGTGAAGAGTTTTTACGGGATTTGTGAGGCTCAAGTTAGAGTATGTAGGAAAGAGGGAAATTTTTTTCCAGTTTAAAAATAGGCCTTAGACAAGGATGTGGATGTCACCGTGGGTTTTTTAATATATTTATAGATGGGGTTTTTAAAGAAGTAAATGCGAGGGTCTTGGCAAGAGGCGTGGAGTTAAAAGAAAAGAATCACACACAAAGTGGGAGTTGTCACAGCTGCTCTTTGCTGGATGACACTGTGCTCTTGGAATTCTGAAGAGAAGTTGCAGAATTGGGGATGAATTTGGTAGGGTGTGCAAAAAAAAAGAAAAAATTAAAGGTGAATACAGGAAAGAGTAAGGTTATGAGGATAACAAAAAGATTAGGTGATGAAAGATTGAATATCAGATTGGAGGAGAGAGTATGGAGGAGTGAACGTATTCAGATTTTTGGGAGTGGGACGTGTCAGCGGATGGGTCTATGAAAGAGAGGTGAATATAGAATTGATGAGGGAAAAAAGTGAGTGGTGCACTTAGGAGTCTGTGGAACAAAGAACTTTGTCCTTGGAGGCAAAGAGGGAATGTATGAGAGTATATTTTTTTACCCAACGCTTTTTATATGGGTGTGAAGCGTGGGTGATGAATGTTTTTCAGCGAGGAGAAGGCTGGAGGCAGTGGAGATGTCATGTCTGAGGGCAATGTGTGGTGTGAATATAATGCAGAGAATTCGTAGTTTGGAAGTTAGGAGGAGGTGCGGGATTACCAAAACTGTTGTCCAGAGGGCTGAGGAAGGGTTGTTGAGGTGGTTCGGACATGTAGAGAGAATGGAGCGAAACAGAATGACTTCAAGAGTGTATCAGTCTGTAGTGGAAGGAAGGCGGGGTAGGGGTCGGCCTAGGAAGGGTTGGAGGGAGGGGGTAAAGGAGGTTTTGTGTGCGAGGGGCTTGGACTTCCAGCAGGCATGCGTGAGGTGTTTGATAGGAGTGAATGGAGACAAATGGTTTTTAATACTTGACGTGCTGTGGAGTGTGAGCAAAGTAACATTTATGAAGGGATTCAGGGAAACCGGCAGGCCGGACTTGAGTTCTGGAGATGGGAAGTACAGTGCCTGCACTCTGAAGGAGGGTGTTAATGTTGCAGTTTATAAAAACTGTAGTGTAAAGCACCCTTCTGGCAAGACAGTGATGGAGTGAATGATGTGAAAGTTTTTCTTTTTCGGGCCACCCTGCCTTGGTGGGAATCGGCCGGTGTGATAATAAAAAAAAAATCATTTAAAATTAAGTCCTTTCTGAAATTTTCTCTTAGAAGTTTAAAGATATATTTTTTTTCATTAATGTTAATGTAAAAATTTTTAATTTTGCACCAAAAGAATCTTAGAAAACTTACCTAACCTTATTATAACAAGAAAAAATTATTTTAGCCTAACCCAACTATATATATTTTAGATTTGTTTACAATAATTTAATACTAAACAAACACAGTGAAATATATTTTTTTCGTTAGGTTCAGAATGATTTTGGCGAAATTATTGCATACACAAAT